GTCAGCACATGCTTCAGTGCTCTGAGAGTGTTTATAGTGCTGTGAGTTTAACACTTCATGACTGAGAGCAGAACACAACACAATCTTCATCATCACACAAGACACAACAACAACAATGAACAACATCATCATCCTCATCTGGACCATTGCAGCTTTTATTCAAGGTAAGATATAAACAATGTGACACTGGTGTTGCTGTTCTTGTAAAAATATGTGATGTAGTTTTAAACACTAATTGATTTTATTTTCTCTTCTTTAGAATCCAGAGGAGTCACTCTGACTCAACCTGAAGTTAAAACTGTGCAACAGGGTCAAACAGCTACAATAGAGTGTAGTCTGGATGTAGGACTAACCTCTAATGATTTGGCCTGGTATCAGCAGAAACCTGGAGAAGCTCCTAAACTCCTCATATATCAAGCAACAAACAGTTACACTGGAACTCCATCTAGATTCAGTGGCAGTGGAACAGCAAATACTGGAAAAGATTTCACTCTGACCATCAGTGGAGTCCAGACTGAAGATACAGGAGATTATTACTGTCAGAGTTACCACTACATCAACAGTAACGATGTGTTCACACAGTGATAAAGAGTCGTACAAAAACCTCCGTCAGTCAGAGTCACAGTGACTGCACTGATACAGCGGAGAGACACTGCAGCTGCTGATGAGAGGATCACAAACAACACACATATTTTTTGTAGCAAATTGAACATTAAACACTACAAGTCTCCCCTTTTTTCATCTTGAAACAAAAAATAATACTTATTTTCAAAAACTGTTCTCTCCCTGTTAAGTCCCATGCAAAGCAGTCAACAGCTGATTGAATCATTCAGAAGGTCAGTATGACTGCTGAGAGTCTCAGTGTGAACAAACCTCATCTCTCCATTAGTTCAACTCTACTGACTCATTTCAGAGAATAAAGAGTCAAACAGTCAAACTCATATTTGAGTGATTCTGTTCCTCTCAGAATAGAGCAGCTCCATCAGCAGATGTTCAGCGTCCTCACAGGAGCTTCATGATACAGTCAAACTACACAGAGTCAACACACAGAGAACCACCCAGCTAGACATTTTTTGTTCTAAAAATGTTCTAAGAACATTACCATTGAGTGAGCCTCAATGTAAAAAAGAAGACAAAATATGAATCAAAACAGACACAATAAATATTTAATATCTTTAATATCTGTTAAGTGAATGTTAATTGAATTTTGAAAAAATACTTCATTATAGTTTTAAAATATTTTAAGCTTTTAATGTATACAGTTAAATAACATTGTAACAATGTATACATTTAAATAACATTTCATCCATAAATGTTATATACATTTTAATCAGTTTATCTACTTGATCTCTATGAACACTTCCTTTGACAACGATCCTAAATCCACCAAACCCTTAATAAACACCTCAAAATCTAAACATTTAACTCTGAAAATCACATTAGAGCTCTGCCAAACAGTCAAACATTAAGATTGTGTATGAATGTATGAGCAGATGATCTTTAATATCAAGTCTAGTTTCAGCCCAGTAAAGTAACCATATTTTCCAAGAGAATCACCAGGATCTTCAATGAGTGTGACGTGTGGTTCTCAAACAAATGAACACATATTAAATCGACACATTCACATATTTTTTTAACAAAATGAAAGCCCAGTTAAATAAAAGAACAATACATTAATATTGTAAATTTCTAGAACGATGTTGAGTGGTTTATTGTCTGTACACACAGAAGGTGGCGTCACTAGCATGTGAATCAACACTTATCTGACCATCAGCAGACATGAGCTTTTGGCAAATATAGCTGATGATCAGTTATCTTCAACATATAACTTAAGATTGCGTTCATACAGACAAAAATAAAGGACTGAGTGCAGTACATATTCATAGATACAGCGAAACATAATATTAA